AATAAAACATTTGAATTGATAATTTTCTATACGATTACACCGAGTTATTATTTTTTTCTTCCTATGATTTTTTGCAGCGTTAATAAATGTCATCGCAAACGAGGTGAACTTAGGAACAAGCGTGTAATTTTAGTCTAACACGCGGAACTACTTAGAGCCACTTGAATTTGCTTCCACATGTTGCTAATAACAGATCTTGCCGATAAATGGTGATTGCTGGATATATGTCGCCTCAAAGCCAATGCATAATTTACCGTCCTGCTTAACTATGTAATAACACCGCGTACTGCATTCATTAGCTGAATTCATTATTCACGAGGAAAGATGTGTCATGTGTTCCGATCGGGACGAGCGTCGTTACGCTTTTCCAATTACGTATTTTAAAAAGGTCGAAAAGAGGTGAGGCAAATTCAATACACGTGATGCGTTTTTTTTTGTCCTAGAATTTCAAGCAAACTTTTACATTTGTATCTACTTTTTTTTTTGCGCTTATTGCGATCGAATAGTATATCAGTAGCAACGCCAGCTGTTTAGCGCAACTTATTCATAATTGTTCGGAATTGTACTATTTACAATGCAACCAGCACTTTTCGCATCTTCATGTCTATATCAATAGCATCACTTTCGAGGAAAAAAACATGCATTCTCCTTATCCCCGTGCCGCAATTGCCCCTAATTTCCGTATAATTGATAACCGCGCGACCGCGGTATCAACTATTAGCGGCATGAAATTGAAAAAATTGCAGGCTGTCCATATTGTCGGAAGATAGTCGATATTACCCCTTGCCTGTCGTCTAATAGCGGACTTTAGCGTAATTTCGTCATCAGGCACGCTTATCGTGACTTCGTCATGTGCTCCGACCGAGCGGAGCGCAGGCTGCGCAGGACGCAATTCGCAAAGTGCACGCCATATGACGTACGACGTGCAGCTACCCTGCGACGCAACGCGACGCGCCGCGTCGGTCCGTAGGGAGTGAAAGTATAATGTTGGCACGTACGAAGGAATTTTCTAGCGGCACGTGGTCGGCGCACGAATTGACGATCCATATGGGAGAAAGGATTGTTCGGCGGCGCGCGCGCACGGGAAAATTAAATGCAACTGTCGAGGGGGAGGAGGGAGGGGGGGGAGCCGCTAATTCCGGGCTGCAGCAGCGACGGCGGCGGCGATGGTGGTTTTTCGAGGGGTGGGTAAACGCATCATACGGCTGCAAATATAAATACTAGCGTGAAAAGGAAGGGTTGGTCGCGATTGGGGACCGCTGCGAATGTGTCATGCGGACGGATCGAGCGTGCTCGAAAAGCTCCAATTCGGCTGCGAGGGATTGCCGACACGTATGGCAGATAGTGACTGATCGCTCTTCACGCTCGGATAATCCCGGAGTATTTGCGACAGGAAGTCGAGAGTGTAGGTGTAAGGTTTAATTAATACGTATCGACCGGTTGATGCTTTCGACCTTCCCCGATTAAGCGGTGATTTCGCTCTCTCTCTCTCTCTCTCTCCCTTCATTCGCCCTCCCCTTATTTTTCGAATATTTATAAATCAGTTTTTACAGATAGACAGCGCAAAAATTACAGAATCCAGTTTTGCACGCACAAAGTTTTGCAAACTTTTTAAGTATCTGTAATTTATATATTAACAGCGCGTAGCAATTATTTAAGATAATTACTGGCTCTGGTCAATCTTTCGCAGTTCCAGTTTTTATTTTCCGCGCATACGACTCTATATTCCTCTATAACTTTGCATACGAAGATTGAATAATAAAAAGGATGGATGACTGCGATGTAGCGATAAGCAGCTGTGACAGCGGAATCTTAACTTCGTATGCATAAATGTATCGGAGCTAATATATCCACGAAGGTAGTAATTAGTGCGGCACGTACTTGCGAAAGCGACCGGCCGACGAACGCCGAGGCACAGAAGTCGAAAGAGTACAGTCCAGTTGTGGAAGCGAAACAAATGCCACAAGATAACGCGCCGCGGGGCATTGAATCGTTGGATTCGATTCCGACAATGGAGGTCATGCTACGTAGGTGCGCTCGCACGTGCTAGTAACTAGCGTTTCTTCGGCTCGATGCGTTACGTAGCCGTACGACTACGTACTAATTACCATCACAATGGCACATTATACTCAATTCCTCATCGGTTCTGCGAAGCTGCCGCCAAGTGATTATTACCGATAGTGCGTATGCTCGCGATCGCAATCGGCGACGGTGTTGAATTATGCAACAAGTATTACTTCATTGAACTCCTAACATTATTGGATCTTATCGAGCCGAAAGCTCCTCGACAACTAGATTTCGAGCAACGCGAAGAAGAATATTTTCTAGAAATTCGCACACGAGCGTTATTATGCCGATGAAAGGTATAATTAACTATACGTAATGAGCGCAACTTTCGATTTCGCACGGCTTCCAAGCGCTCTTATCCGTTTAGCAAGTTCCATATCGCGTAACCCTTTTATTCCCGCGAGCTAATCGCTGCGCCAGACAAATCGGTAAGTTGCTTTAATTTATATTCATTACATACAAATTGAATATTATATTATTCTGCGGTAGGGCGCGAACTCCCCTAAGGGCACCGCACGGCCGACATCCCATCGCCGCAATGATTCTGGCACAATCGGCGGCAAGAGCACACCGACCAATCGCTTTGTTCGCGCTTTGCGGCTGCAGAAACAACACTTATTCAACAGCCGTGATCGAAATGGCATCTGCAAAGTATGGCGGCGCGGGGTGTCTCTCGATCGAACGGTGCAGCAAGAGTCTGATTTATTTCAACTTCGATACTCATCTTCGATTATTTTCGCGAACTGTACGATGACGTGGGAATTTATCTAACGCATTGCAGCCATCTTGCAGCCGCAAACTATGCTGCGCGCCCGTACGGGTGCGACGGTAAATCGCGAGGAAATATCGCTCCCTTGAGAGACGAAACGGATACTTATCGCTCGTCGGAAGCACGGAGAACAAAAATAGAACGATGTCATTACTTCTTTTACTACGACGCTCTCTCTGTCGTTCTGATAATACATTGTAAAAAAGTGCTGCGGACGCGCTGAGCGGGCAGTCTCAACCCCTGTTCTTTATTCTGCCATATTAAGGATATAATTTCACCAAGTCCGCTGTTTCCAATTACAGACTGCGTGGCTGGACTGTCGCAGGAAATAATCACAGAGTTTGACATAGGCAGTAAAATCGATTGGGCGTAGAGATACTTAAATTAGACCTGGTCGACAAAATGGCCTTTGTCGACAATTTCTCACACGGATTACAGACCCCACGAGGGCTTCACAAGGCGCCGCGAGGAAAAAATATTACAAGTGATAAATTATTTCAGCCAAATGCTTCTTTTGTCGTATTTTTTTTTGTCTCAAAAAGATGCCGACAGATTTAACACATAAAGAAATACTTAAGTAGAAACTAGGAACTAAAAGATCATCCCAAAATGTGAAAATCATGCTTAGTATTTATACGTCTTTGTCAGAAAATTACATCTTAAAATGTGTCTCAACAGACTTCCACAAATTTATTTTTCCTAAAATGTATCACACTGTTCGAAGAATATTTTGAATATTCTAAACAGAATACTGTTCGCTAGTTAAAATTGCTATAAATGTTTTAGATTAATATTCAGACTTATGATAATATTTTGCTGCACACAGAAAAATCAATTTTGCATGATTGATAAATTTTATAATTAAATATAGTTAATTTTATATTTACATTCAGATATCTTGATATTTAGTGCCAAAGACGTAATATATCGTCGGCTATTCAAAGTCCATTAAAGAGATACGAGAAGCAGCAAACGCAACGACCGGTAAACACGAACAAAGTGAAGAAACAGTGAAGAAGAAGAGGAAAGAGAAATCGTGCAAAGAGGTTCAGTGCTATCAGCCACCGCGTTGAACATCGCGATTTCTTTGATTATACGTTGCAATAGAGATTGTAGCACTGTTCGAGGGACGCCCCAGCCCATCCACGGCAGGGCCAGACCACTGTCCTCCCCTCCTTCGTGTGCGGCGAAAATTACGGCAATATACAGCGGTCAAACCCCGGTAAAAGGCCCCTCTTTTGCGTGGTCTGCGCCCGGGAAAAGACGTCCGGCAAAAGACGACCCGTTCTTTACGCGTGAACATAGGTTCTCGTCACGGGTTACCCGTTTCCTGGATAATTTCAGACCTCTTTTACAGTACGTACGATTCGTCGTCGGTGGGCGTGTGTCACCTCGCGAGGAGCCACGCGAAGGATCTCATCGTTGCACGTGTACGCATGCTTGCATGCGTTGCACCATGTTATGAAACGCGAATGTCAGTGGCCCCCACGAGCTGCCTTGCTAATGAGGGGGTTCTCTTCTTTCTTTTTTTCTCTCTGTTTTTTGCTCTTTTTTTCCCACTCGCTCTTTTTCTTTGTGCAGAGCGACGAGTTGCGTAAACTTCGACGAACGCGGTTTTGACGGAAGGATGTAGCTGCCCGTAGTTTGGAAAATGAGAATGTTTGTTCTTTAAGATTTTATGAAAATTAATTCAGCAGAAGTATTTTTATATCTGTAATATGCTTCAAATTTTTGTAAAAATACGTAGCATTTAGTTGAAAGAAATAATTTTTTTTTAAATGTTTGTAAAATTAAAATATATACATGTGGCCATTTTAAAGAAAGCATTTTAAATTTCTTTAAAAAAATATTCTAAATTTTTTTACAATTCTCTTAAAATCTTTGAAAAATGATCTTGTTAAAATTATTTTATTAATTATTTCATGATTACTTTGCTAACAATTATTGCATGCTTTCAATTATTTTCTACAGATTTCATTTTTATAATTATTCGTAATATATTTTTCTTCTTCATCTCCTACAATATCATAGCGATACGCGGAAGACGGTTTGTTTATATATAGTATTATTTCTGCTGGGAAATGCTAAATACCTGTCTTCTGAGCTTTCTCCGTTTCTTTCGAAAGAACAAAAAGAAATGATACTTCAAAGAATCTTTGCTTACCTTTGAGGCGAAGCAATGTCCTTTGTTCTGGTTTGGTTATGTCCAGGAAGGGTCGATGAAAGGATTGAAAAAGGGCCCAACAAAAGTGATGGGCGTGCACAATCCGTATCCGTATCTTCCCCTGAAAAGACGTAATCAACATTCGTAAACATGTGATCGAAATTAATATAATATGCGTCATACTTCGGTCAACGACCCCGCGAGAAATTGCATATTTTTGCTGGTGGCGTTGACAAGAAGTTTAAGCAAGAAGTACAGCGACAAGAAATACAAAAGTAATCTCTCATTCGTCTTATTTAATTCTGATCTCACGGGCTTAATATCCTTAATTAATGTTTGTTCGGCCATCTCATAAATCCTCAGCTTAAGGTGCGAAAAGAAACGTTATTGCGTCCGACAAAGGAAAAAAAGCTTTTCTTAGTCTCGTCGCAGAGTCTCGGTTTACCCAGGTGTCCTCTCGACTTCAAGTCAGTCCTAATTAAAGGGAAGCTGCACCGATTGCAGAAATGATTAAATTCTTACGAGGCGGGACAGCACCGAGTGGAAATACGCGCTGCTCGCCCTAATAGAACCACGATGACGTGTCTCCAACTATTCTCCTGCGTCATAATTATCCGGCATTACTCGGCGGATGATACCTTTGTCACTGTGTGCTTATAACATTCATTATGTCGCAACCATTGTGACAGCTGTGGAAACTCGGGGTACGTACATCCTGGATTTCGAGGCAACGCGTATACAGACGCAGCATGAGGCACGAACACACGCGTAGAGACAGGCAGTTTTGGAATAGCTATCGTGTTACAAGATCGCGGTAACGAGATCATCTTTGCTCTACCTAAAGGTAAGATTTGGGACCGATTTCTAGAAAACCCCAGAGGCGCTATCGACACGAATTCGTTGGTCGCAAAGGCAAACGACCCCTCCGGGATCTTGGGATTCATGATCCGAGATGAGCAAATGGTCCTAATTATAATCGCATTAGGATCGCCAGCACCAGCTTTAAGGACGTCAAAGGTAATCTGGATCAATTTTCAGCACGACATTCACGCGTAGAACATCATTTTCTGCGCATTTCTACTTATACGCATTTATATAAAAATAAAAAATTTATATATATATATTTTTTTAAATAAAAAATATATATATTATTTATATAATATTAATATTATATATATAAATTTTTTATTTTCCAAAAAATTTAGATTTGTAAATATTCGCTTGAAAAAAATAAAAATTAACATTATCTTTAATACTACGGCACTTTTTTTTTATTTTTTCAATATCGCCTTGTCATCGCGTAAGTCTCCACGTCAATAACCGGCTCACACCTCGGCAAACGAGCTGGTGATGATTTTGTTTCAGGTTTACCGCGAAACCTAATCCCCGACGAGGGCTACGATCGGGATCGAAGAACCCCGTCGCAAGATTCTCGTGATCCACCAGCCGTGCAAGAGGTGCTCCGCTTACAGGAGCAATCGAAGCGTGTCCTTCCCTATTCGTCGACGATGTTTCGCGTGCGCTTTGACCGTGACCACGAAGCGTGGCAGTCGTGCGTGTGTCACTCGATGACTCCTGGCCCTTGCGGATCGTTCTCCTACCCCGCCCAGAACGTGCACGCGTTGCACTCGTCTCTACCCCACCCTCGCGCCGTCCCTCAGCTATGCGCGGTGTTTCCCTCCCGTGGACTCTGAGGCTTAGGCTTACCGCGAGCGCAGACCACCGAGTCCCCTCCGTTATCTTCCTCCCTTCCGCCCCCGCAACCCGTCACATGTCTAAATGTGCTGCATCGTCTGCATCAGTGCAGCGGCGCCAGCGAGGTATATTGCTCGCTTGATGCGCGAAAAAAGATTGGAGGAAAAATAAGGAAAAAAAGAAGGGGAAAAAAAAAAAAAAAAAAACAGTCTGAAGAGATTAAATATTATGGAGTCGCGAAAGATAGCGTGTCTATTTGTATGGCTAATATTGTCTAACAGAATGATGTTAAAAGACATTTTTATTATAAAGCATGAAAAGTAAAGGTTGTAATTAAGTGCACGATTAAAATTATGTTTGCTTTGCTAGAACGACAGTTTTTAATAAGCCGTTCGTTATTGCTATTAATGTCGCGTGGCCGTAGAATTAGCCGAATACTGTGCGAGGCGCGGCGCGAGCACGTAACCACCGAGCAATAAACGTAGCCGCGCATAAACGATAATTCCTAATCATCCTCGACGACGACTCCGAAGTAAGAATCCAAGCGCGGGATTATTAATTCGAAAAGTCGCGGGGGTCAAATTAAATTTGAAGCGGGGCGAGATGGTCTCGGCGTCCACCGTTTAATGCCCCATCCAATCTCATCTACAAAGTCGCGACGATTAACCCCGCGCACCAACCGCAGACAGGCAGAGGCAGGCCGCAGCGGCAACAGCTACCGCCGGTTTCTCTTCTTCAGGGGTGGATGACTCCGGGGTCGACTCTTCTTCTTTTCCTTCTCTCTTTCCCCTCCCCTTTCTTTCTCTCTTTCTCTCTCTCTCTCTCTCCCGATCTCCGTGCATCTCGACGTGCAACTACTGTTCGCCACATGGCCTCTCCGTCCCCCTCCTTCCCCCCCTCCCCCCGCCTCGTCTTTGCTCCTGATCTTCTCTCCTCCTCCTCCCTTTCTTTCCGCGCACTCCGACTTGCTTGCACTCACTCGCTTGCTCGCTCGTTCGCTCGCGATGCCGCAATTATTGCCAGTATTCTGGGCTGACGTGACGTGACACACTCGGCCCATGTGCGCGGGGTCAAGCTTCGGGGTTAGCTGAAATTACGGTCGGCAGGCGCCTCGCCGAGGAGCGAGTTACGTGCACGCGTGCCGGAGGTTCCGCGCGCACAAGGACGCGCGTTTTCCGCGCGGTATTCCGAGATTTCGCGATAACCGATAATTTCGCAGCGCCTTACAAAGCTGACTGCTTCGTCCGGTTATTCTGACTTTTGATTCGTGAAAGCAGATACGCAGCGAGATCGCACCTTTGCTCGTTTAATTATACAGAAGGATGTGAAATGTAGCGTTTAAGGATATTTTAATTAATACTTTTGTTCTTACTACTATTTTTTTTTGCTTCTGTGTGCAGCTGCGCGAGTCAATGTTGACAGTGTTATTAGATATTCTAACGTCGAAGTTCTTGCTCGATAATTTTTTGCGCTTGAATGATTCATGAGAATACTGTCGCCTCGCAATGTAAGCAGCCATATATTATGCAGTCATAATTATACTCGACAAAAACGCAAGGAAAGATAAGAGCATGTCGTGATATTGGAAGCACTTCTTCGTAAAATACACTTATCGTCATAAATAAAGCAGTCGAGTGCAAAGGGTTAATCGAACATTTGAAAGCGCGGAACTTGAACTACTCTGAAACTCGGGAGCAACGAAGAACCACGAGGAGATTAACTTAATGCTTCTCCCTTTCTCTTTCTCCCGCCGGGTCAATCAGAGGAGAAAAAAACGAATAAGCTTCAAGAGTGGATAGATAAAAAGAGACATTACAATGGTAAGAAAGGGGCAAGCGAGCGACGGTCGAAAAGTATTCGCGGGTCCGAGCGCCTATGCGTCCGATGCAGCTGGGAGAAGCGAAGGCGCAGAGAGAAAGAGAAGAAAAAGAAATAAAGAGAAAGGAGTAGCAGTAGCGGGAGGAGAAAGGGCAGAGTAAAGAGAGAAAGAGACGGAGATGAGGATCCGAGGGAAGAGAGAGAGAGCGAGAGAACGGGCGGCAAGAGGGCCGTGACTCGGCCGTGACATCGCGATTACGCTCGCACACCTGTGCTCGACTCAACTTCGACTTAAGTCAGCCACTTACTTTACCAGTCGTCACGTGCTGCAAGAAGCCAGAGCCACGCGTCCACTCTCTTCTCCATGCGAGATATATCGGAGTTTTCCACCATCTCAACGACTTCTTTCGCAATATTTTTCTCCAGGCTACGCTCGCTCGCCTCGAGTGACACGACGCGGGATTTAATGTAACGTCAAGCCGTTTCGTGATGAACTTTCTTTCTATGTGGTAAGGTTAAGTGGGCTTTTTAGCGGCACTCGGCGGCGGCAAGAAATCGCGCGTCTTCATTCGTCTTCTGCTGCTTGAGGCAATAATAGGTATAAATGCTCGAGGCACGACTTGCGCTGCCGGTTCACGGTTATCAATATTCCCTCATTGTGTTGAAACGTTTGGACCTTTGCAGAAGCCTTTTGCTTTCATGTTATTCAAGTTTCAAACAGTCATTATTGTTATTTATTAAAACGGTTATTATTACCATTATTAAATAAACTCGAAAGATCTTAACGCACTTTTAACTCTAAATATCTAATATATTAAATAAACTGAAACAAATTTTTTACTACATTTCGTTATAATTTTATAATCTTATATCTCAGAATATATCAAAATTATAAAATACATCATTTTTCACTTATTTCACAAATTTCTAATATTATTTATGAAATTAATCTTGCATAACTCCATTCAATTTCAGGATGAATAATTTTGCTTACAAGACACGATTCCTTATAATTTCACAATGTCGTATAGCTGGTAATGTAATACATGAAATCGACCATTCAAGTCAGCTTGCACCAATGTTTTATTTACAAATGCAAATCCTAAGATCACAATCTGGAAATTGCTGCAAACAACCGTTTTTCACTCTGACGTGAGAGCAAAATTTACTTTATCCTCGATATCGATCCGCTTTACGAAGCGTTTAGTCAAACGCTTATTATTTGCCGCAACATTATGTATTCCACTCGCGCGTCGCCTCAATATGACGACCTCGCAATCATTGCGTGTAAACAGTCCACCCGCGCGCGTTCAACAGACGCGGAATAGATTACATTAAGACTTTTACGCATGCTGATCAAGTCTAACTCCCGTTTCTTGTCGAGATTGGATCTGAGATATTATTGCTCCTTGTTAGCGAGCGAACTGGCAAACATGTGATGTGCATAATCAAGCAAATGTTCACTCTCGCTCGCGTGGACCGATACATGCAATTTCATTCGATCGCCGGCAAGGTTTTTTCGTCAGGTTCTTTACAGTACCGTAACTTCCATGTTACGCGCAAATACAACTCTCGCGAATGCCGTAATTTTGTATGAAAATGTGTACT